TTAGAACAAACACTAGTAAATACTAAAAGCGCATAAAACTGTCAAGTGCACTTAAGTTAGCCTATAATAATGCTCACACACACTCTCACTCGACTTACACACACACACACACTCAGCCTCGGCTATAATCGATTATATTACTGCATCGATGCAGAATCTTTCACATCCGCATTGGGATGCATCAATGCAAAGATTCATTTCAACACCTCAAATATATATTATGCAAAGGCTTACCCTGATTTTCAATTTCAGTTGGCTGGCTCATCTTTCAGTACAATGTTTCTCAAGACCCTGTGTGCAGAAGTCCAAACAAGTTTTAAATTCCAATGAGCTCACAACTGGCAGCAATACCTTTGCATGGTGGTACATTCCACATAACACATCCAAAAAGCAGAATTCATATTAGAAAGCAATTTCAAGATTTGGTAAATATTGCAAAAGGTCATCTTACAGTGGTATAGGGCTCGACAATAAAAATGGCCTGATGCCCTGGGGTCAGTGTGAGAGAGTTTCGGGACTGTCACTTGTCTAAGCAGACCAGAGCTGTGTTGACAGTTGTTGATCTTGTACTTGTGTTTTTATGTAAATTATAAAGCAATTAGTATTGTTTTGCATCATATCATTGTTTTCCAGCACAAATGTGTTTTATAAATGTATAGCTGTCGTGGAGTTACAATGCAGCTGTATAATTTCCATCTGTTATTGCAAAATTAAAAACCTAAAATGAAAAAAAAAACATGAAAATTAGTTATAAAATAATTTTTCTACAGAAAAAAAATGTATATATATATATATATATAAACATAAATTGGCATAATTAATTTAATTATATAGCTGCAATGCCACTTGATGATTTTTTTTTGTATTTAATGAAAAACAATAATATAGAAATACACACACACACACACACATACACACAGTATATATAGATTTTCTTTCTGGTACGCATAAAAATACATATCTAAAAATATAATGCATTTTTGTGATGGGTGACAGAAAGTGTTGCAAATGTTTCAAAATCATAACCATCAGAAATCCTTAGAGTCGCATGAGAGTACAGAAATAAGCCTCGACCACCAAGTTGTAATAATGTGGGGGTTTTATGACTGGGCATGTTCTTGCACATCCTCTCTCTGGTTGCTTCAAAACATGAATCACTTAAAAAACCTCAAGAGTGAGATATTGACATCTTAATAATTAAGTCAATTTGCCATTCACTTCATGAGCCGATTATAAAATGCTTTTGATTTAAAATGACTGCAAAACGAGTCTATGATGGACAAAAACATAGGTGCTAAAGAAATCATTGCACTCTGCTCATGTAAATGTATTATTCTGTAGCTGGTAAAAAAGTCATTCCAGTGAGCTTGAATATAAATTGATTTGCAGTAATGTTTACATAAGTCGCATGGTCATTGCAGTCAGAGCCACATACATTAAGAGAAGTTCAATTTGAGTTACAATTGAAATCTGTAGATATGCATGCAACGGAGGGAAAAAAAACATGCATCCAAACTCTCACAAACAAACACAAGTGTATGTGCTCAAGATGTGCACTATGAATATATGAATACTTAAGAATGACAAATTAGAGTCACGACCACACAACACACCAGACGGAGTTGTTCTTAAACGGGGGTGAAATGGTCTATCATATGTCAGGCTTTGACTGCACTGGAAACATTAACTGTGACAAACAGGGGACTCCAGTCCCCGCTGAGCTGATAATGGTAGCACTGAGATGTTAATAAAAGTAATCTGCCTGCGCCCTGCATTCACTCATCCCGCAGTCACAGATGGGCTTGCCTTTAATGTGCACCCAGATGACAAGAGCATCATTTAAGCCAAAATACCCGAAAAGCCAAAGCATGCAGCCGAGACTTGAAGCGCTCCAGCATGGTAACTACCCACAATCCTCTTCATCCATCCTCCCAGGACTGTAGAATAGTCTTTTGCACCATGTTTCGCATATTATTTCCCCAAGCAACCTTGACTTTCAAAGAGAAACTTTATAAAAAAAAAGGAGATGCTGGACAGGAGAACATTTTGTACTTCTGTCACTGATTGAAGAAATGTATCGACATGTGGACCTAGTCAGAAATGTCAGATCTGTGTTCAGACAGAAAAAAAAAAGAAGAAAAAAAAATCAAACCTTGTTGTAAAACATTTTATAGGTGAATCTCACGAAAACTATCAATAACATGTCTAGGCTTATATATAAATAAATAGTGAATCACACGAAATGAGTGATTCACATGAAACTTGTCAAGAACATGTCCAGGCTTTTATATATATATATATATATATATATACATACATACACACTAGTACAGTTCAGTACACACACACACACACACACACACATATATATATATATATATATATATATATATATATACACACACAGAGGGCTCGACATTAAGGCTTGTCTGCTGGTCCAGGACAAGGGGATATTTTTAAGGGGCAAGTGAAAGTGGATTTTACTTGCCCGACCGGACAAGTAGGCTAGCCTGATAAAAACTTCAATAACAAAAAATAACTAGGGAATCACCAAAACGTGACAATGATTCTGCATTCATTTTAGTGCAAGTATTAAGTACATTTTAGATGCAATATTGACTGATTTTGTCCTATTTAAGCAGCGAAAACAGTTCCAAACAAAGATCACAGCAGAACCATAACGCATCTCACAGGAACACTTAACCGTGTTTTCATTACTGAATGATTCAGCGTTTTGAATGAATCGGATGAGTCAAAGATTCGATGACCCATTCATAAAAAACTGCCTCATTCCTGAATGAATCAGCCATTTGAGCAAATCGTTTGAACAAATGACTCACTGACTCACTCATTAAGAAGACAGTCACCTGCCGCCACCTACTGGTGGTTTAGTTTTGTGTTTAAAAGTATCATTCTTTTGTATACTTAAAGGTGCTCTAAGCGATGTCACGCGTTTTTTAGGCCAATACATTTTTTGTCACATACAGCAAACATCTCCTCACTAACCGCTGGCTGCCTGTCCCCTGAACACACTGTAAAGAAACGCGATCTCTGTAGACAACCCAGGCTCCACAAACAGCAACAAAAGCAAACTGCGGCGACCCGCTCCCCAAAACATAACAAACTGTTCCAGCCAATGACCGACAAGAAGGGTTTGGGGGCGGGGTTTGGGGGGTTAGTGTGCGGATGAGGAGGAGGGAGGGTCTAGCTAGCCTCCGTTTTGTTTGACAATAGTTCGAACGTCAACAAGAAGTGACGTCACCCAGGAACGCTTAGAGAACCTTTAATACAACCTCATAACACTATTTAATGCAGTTTTAATTTTTCAGTGTAAATTATTTAATTTGATTGGTAACAGCACTTTATTGTCTTATTATTCTAATTTAATTTATTGATCAAATTTAAGAACTTAAATTGAAAGATGAAGCAAATACTTAAAATGATTAGGAATATATATATATATATGTATATATATATATATATACTGTATCTAACCTCAAACATTTGAACAGTAGTGTATAAAATGTTCTGTATTGTTTTTTAAAATATAATATGGACAAATAAAATGCAGCAATACGAATCTATTGAAAATCACCATTGAAAATAAAGGTAATCAGTACCTTTAAAAAATACTCTTTTTTTATGTATTAAGGCCCTTGCACACTGAGTCTGAAATTTCCCCATGCGTTTTTTCGTGTTCGTGATTTGGTGGTTCTGGATTGTCAAAACACCATTCAAACTGATTGCTACGGATGCGAAAAACGCAAAAAAACGAACCCGATCCGATTTTTTTTATGACGGACGAAAGTTTCTGAGGCAGTGTGCAAGCGTGATTGGCATAACGTGAGGTCCTATTTATTTTTAACGTGCGAAAATTTCGGACGCGAATTTACAGTAAAGAAAACCCAATGAGAATTACATCCAGACACATTATGGCAGAGGTTCTCTTTCTACCTATCAACACTCCCCTTTTGCAAAACAATTCATTATTGTCCTTAGATTTTGGGGTAAATCTGTTGGGCTGTATCTGTTAAATGTACTGAAAAAATTTCTATCACAATAAAACATCAGACAATAGCCATGTTATTATTATGCCAGGAGGACACATGAAGAGATTTGGTCATATGATGTGTCAGAACTGGTTAAATTTGACAACCATCCAACTTTAAGCATTTCCCAACATCTAAGCGAAGCCTGTCAGGGTGAGCTCGCTCGCGTCGTGACAAAGCTTCAACATCCTCTTTCGCCACCAACAAGAGCCAACGTGTGACAAAAGCTCTCGATGGTTCACGCGAGTTATTTTTAATGCTCTATTCCGCAGTCCCTTTGCTGATCGCCCTTGAGCAAAAGCTGCCAATGTGGCAAAACTACTTGCGATGACAAAGGACAAAAACTCCCTTGAGAGTTCCCTCTGAGGTTTCTGAGACAGGTCGGTGGGAAGGAAAAAACCATGGCGCAACATCGTGTGCGGAAACCTCTGGAACTACCCATGGCGACAGATGCAAACGCACACACACATCCGCCATTAATGTTGTTCATTACGATCGTTAGCCTAATTTCTACAGCATTCGCTCAGTCAAAATCAACCAGCCCCTGAACCGCAAGCACAGTCAGCAAGAAAGCCTCACGTCACACCGGCTAAATATATCACAGTCAAATTTTTCCCATACTACTGCAAATTACTCTCTCCTCCAGAAACTCGCTCATAACATTCAATGGGGGAGAACAAATCAATTCATACGCCGTGTTTAGAGCTTCTGCGCTTTGAATTCAGCACAGAAATAAACCCACGCGCTTCAAGGCCTACAACAGTGAGCGAAAGCTCCCAGCCGAATGGATGCTGATTCATCAATAGATTGCCAACGTAAAAGGTCATCCCATTTCCCAAAATGACATTTCCTGCTCGCAAATGGGCCTAAGAGGAACCTGCAAGAACCAGTTCAGCAAGACTATAAGGGATTCTAATAGGCACGCAGACAAATAAAGGGCACTGTACTCACCAGAGTTGCAGAAAGTTGTGGATCTCAGGACATAAATGGGGAGATTGGACAGATGAAGAGGGGAAGAGAGCGCAGCTGTGTCGCTGTGCGGATCAGTTCATCAGCCTTTAGACTTCTTTCCAGGTTGATAAGCGGCCCATTCTGCAGGCAGAAGGGCAAATCAAAACAACACACTGTCAGTTTAAGCCACGTTTGTCAGTCATGCGAGGCTGCCATACGTTGCACCTTCTCCACATCAGGGTCTCTGTGTAACGAAAGGGGGTTTGCCTCAAGAGCACGGGTGAAATCGCACAAGCCATATGTGCGCTGATTTACTTATCTCACGGTTAACTGGATCCTTAAATGGGAACATTGTGTAAAAAAAAGGCCAAAAGCATCAGCTTCTAGTTAAGCGTCTAACATTTCTGTGGATGCACCACTTTTGTGGGATTTAACCAAAAAATTTGCCATGTTGTGAGATTCATAAATACATGAAATGGTGTCACTGACCAGAGAGGGATCCCAGAAGTCTCTTGGGTTTTCTCTTCCAGGTCATGTGACCACGTGCCGTCACACTTCCAGACGACTTGAGAGAGTCCCGTCTGTCCAGTGTACCTCACCTTTTAAAAAGAAGCAGTTGTGTGAGAAAACATTCAGAAAAATCTAATTGATTCACAGATTTAACTAGTTTTATGACTTCTATGCATTACCTGAGCAAGTCCTTACTGTCTCTCTGTAAAGGAGGTTTATTTTTTATTTGAAATTAAAGGTTTTCTTCTACTGTTCCAAACCAAGATTCTGCAAGAAAGATGGGGGGGAAAACATTTGCACATTATATTAAGTAATAAATAAAAGTTAGAATCCAATTCCATTCCATATTTTTGCAATGTAGGACAATTAAATAGAACCTTTAAAGATAGAAATCATATTAGTTAGTCTTATCACCACCTCACAATTAAGTGAGGTTGTGATGAACATTGGTTTGAGCAGATGTTGTTATTTCTGTCATGTGCTTGGGGAAAAAAAACCTGGCAATTTATTAAGAAATATTTCAGGTGTATTATTCAAGCTTTCATTTTCTAATAGAAATGTTTCAAGCCAAACATGCAGAAATTGGTGTGATATGTTTAAAATAAACAAAGTGTTTATCATCATACTATCTATATTATTTAAACACTATTATTATATTTATAAATATTAAAGTCTTCAAGTCTTACAGTTAACAGAATATTTCTATTTGGGCATAAGTTTGATATGTAATTTTATAGAAATAACACCATAAATACCAACACAAATTACAGAAGATCAAAGGGTAATGCATAACAGGAATGATCTGTATTGTTTCAGATTCTCATCCCATGTCTAACACACAAAACTGCGTAACAAATGAGCTTGTGGAAATAGTTATGATTTTTTGATGCATATTATTGTAATTGTAACCATCTCTTACGTCTGTGACCGCACTGCCAAATCCAGCCTTCAACTCCAAGAAAAGAGAAATTCCTTCAAAAAACAAGGAGACATTTATCAGTAAATGACCGTAAATGAACGTCTATCTGTGTGTGTGAAAAGTGCTCCCTCTAATGGTCATGTTTGGCACTGTTTAACAAGATGGTGATGAATTTGGTTTCTGGCTCGGAGTGACATAGAAGTGATTATCAAATATATGACATGCATTATAAAATGATTAGTTCAGATTACATTTTGATTGGATGAGCCACCTTCAAATCTGCACCAAAAAATGCCACAAACACACCTATGACCGCACATTTTATATTCATTCAGCAAGTTACTACTTTAATCATTGATTCTGTCTTATTAACACAGGATCAAGCAATAATATAACTAGTGAAATATATTTAGCCTGACTAGCCATGACAGAGAGAGTTTCTCCTAAACATTATATCAAAACCTCTAAAGCTTGACATGTCTCAGTGTCCCAAAACACAATTTACAGTACTTAGGGAAGACTGCCATCTACTGGCAAAAGAAACTACGGACACCTACTGTCAATCATTTTCCAGTTTGATGACCACTCTGGGTAAAAAAAAGGGTCATGCAGACTTCAAATATTGGCAGAAGAAAGACCTGTTAAATATTTACCCAGTCTAGACTCAGCTGCTCCAAAAACCAATTTGGCCAATTTATTTAGAGGCTTCAAGCGGATGCAGATAAAACACTTCGGTCCTCAGCCTGAGTGATATTGTGCAAACCAGAAGTTAATCAGTTCCTCTAAAGGCGCTTACAATCTGATCTCCTGTTTGACATGGAGCCACTTCAGAGAGTCCCAGAGATGAAACTCTATAATGATTGTAGACTGAAATTCAGCACAAGGGCTCGACACACAAATCACACTGTATTAATGTTTAATGATCTCTAAAAGCTCCTATTCCTTTTCCGCTTTCTCAGGGTCCCGCGTCCCGGCGTTTACAGATTATCACCTGACCCCTACTCAAGGACTGTCCCAATGCGATGGCGAACGAACACACATCAGTGAGATTAAAGATCTCCGTTGTGATGGCGGTCACAGTGCTCAAAAGATCCATAAAACACATAAGTTATCTCCTTTCGACACACGGCCCAGAGAGACAACCATACTCACGCTAGGCACATGAACCCCACCATGATGCAAGAGCATATTTAACACAGCCGTCAGACTCCTTTGTAACAGATTACACTCAACGGGTGAAGCAGGAATTATATCAAAAGACAAACACATATGGCATACGTATGTTTACATTTTGCTTTTCCCACCGGCGATATTTCAGACGAACAGCCTTTATAATATATTTACAATTTTTCCAATACTGTAGCAGTCACTCAAATCTTTTTTTCTACCATAAATGAAATATTAATAAGATCTAAACTATTTATATTGTGAGCATTAATAATGAATTGCAGCCCTTTCAACATTGTGCTTCAAAACGTAATATCGAGCCTGAGAGGAAAGCGGATATTTTTCCCTTTTCATTTAGCCAGGGGGGGGGGGTTATAAATTAAGAGGGTCCATGCTTTGCTAAATATTGTAAACGCACCTAATGCATTAATCAAATAAGTAAATCACTGTGGGCAATAAAGCCAGAGCAGCACAAAACAGGGCTATTGAAATGTGTTTAAGCGTTTCATTACTTTCATTTACTAATAAATAAATGAATCCACTTGGAGACACTTCACTGGCTGTAACATTTTTTGAATCAAATGACATTTTGATGGAGAGGTTAAAAGGGGAAAGATCTCCACAGGGCTTTTGGAGAAAGTGCAGACTCTTAACTCAGTCATGGAAAAAGTCAGCTCACTTCTGCCGGTGTGCAATTTCATTAACGCTTACATGCAGGCAGGCATTGATTTGCAAAGGAATCTCTCTGAAATGCAGGTCTAATCAATCAAACGTCTCCATTAATTTCAGCCGGGGCTGTCGCTTGAATTCACAGGGCCTCGGATGAAATTTTTATGGGAGGGCCTAAGGAAGTTTATAATACCTGGAGAAAGCTATCCGTTAGCTTTCCCATTCATCTCAGTGACAGATGTTTGGCTGGCCAGGACCCCCCGGAAGTGTGCAACGAATGGCCGTCAATGGAAAGATATGTAGATACAGCATCTACCAAATCTAATTATGTGTGATTGTATGGTTAGTTGGGTATTATTATTTACATTTAGCATTGTTTTTCCTCACCAGTTGAGAAGCACTAGACTATACAGTATAGAAAGAGGTTCTCAAGTGATTATTTTATTATCCTCATATCATATGGGATCCTCATATCATGATCTTACTGCCTTTAAATGTTGAATATACATTTTAAAGCTGTCTTAGTCATTAAAAAAGAGCATTTGAACAGTAAGCACATTGAAGTTGATTCAATAAAATTATTTGAGACATTTTTCAGCTTCTTTTTGCTCAGACATGGTGCAGTGGCTGATTTTAGGTCAGAAGACATAACAGAGTGGACACTGTGTAAACAGAGATTTTTGAAGAAGTATTTAAAGTGCTTTGGTTCATATTGTTTCCGATCAAAATCCACTGCAAACAAGAGTAATATTGTAACCAGTTGTATGTGGGAGATAGGAAATCATACATCCATGCATTCTCTACTACTTAGTCCACATGGCATACTTTGTCCACCCTGTTAAGCAGTTTTTTTTATAATAATTTCATAAAAACAGCAAAAAAAGACTAATACTTCAGTGACAATGAACATTTATGAACATGGATAATGAACATAGTATAAATAATGTAGTACTTTGAAAAAGTTAACATTGTAAAATGAGGCATTTGTATCTGAAAATGTAAAATAATGTGTTTGTGAGAAAGTATGTACAATTCATAATATATATATATATATATATATATATATATATATACACACACACACATATTTATATATATATATATATATATATATATACAGTATAATGCTAAAATAATGCTATGAAACAGGGTGGACATTTTTGATCTTCAATTTAATTTATTTTGTTTAATAAATGCTTAAATTAAATTTACCCGAGCTTGACCAATAGCATTTTTAAATGTTTAACATTGACCTATCATAATTACACACAGATTTATTTTTAAGTTGGTTTCTTTTAAATGTCTTTTAATTGTCTTCTTTTATGTCCAAAAGCCCAAAAATATACCAGGAATGACCCATATATATATATACACACACATACATACACACACACACTTTACTTTACATACATACATATAATTTATGTTTTTTTTTAAATAAAATATTGTAATAAAAAAAAAGATTATTAAATGTATATTAGTTATATTTCTCTGCTACCCAATCAAAAAAGATCTGTAACCCATTTTTGGATCTCGACCTATCAGATGAGTACTGCTAAAAAAATGTGGGGTCAAATCTGGACAAACCCAACCATTGGGTTTAAAAATGTAATTTACAACCAGCATTTTGAAACAACCCAGCATTTTTTAGAGTGGGACCTTATGGACCCCTCTCATCAGGGTCTGGGACAATAGCTTGTTCCCCCAGATAACATACCCGATTTAAACTAAAATCAAAAAGAAGAGAATGTAAAGCCACACAGAAGAAAATAAGAATAATGAACAGTAAATAATATGTTGTTTTAAGTTTTAATCACAGTATTTGGTGGACACAAAGCAACTTTTGAGTTGAACAATTACATTTCTGTGATACCAGGACTATACATTGTGTAAATTCTGCCAGAAATATTAAAATTGTTGCTAAATGTATGCCACAGTGCAATAAAGAAAACACTGATGAAAGTGCTTTTTTGCCCGGCAATGTAAATAATGCGGGCGTGACGGTGTGAGAGAGTTTGGTGGTTTGCTTTCTCATGACAAGATGCTTTGAAAGTCAGTTTGAAAAGTTGAGCAAGGTTTAAAAGCGAGCTGCAGTTTCAGCAGCCCGAGCAAAGCGAATGGAGTCGACCAAGTGCGGAGGGATTACACAGGAACAAAACAAGTCAAGAAGCAGTAAGCATAATGTTAGGAGAACTGCTTATGTGCAGAAACAGTCTGACAGGGCTGTGAGAGGCTGCCACTTACACACAAACACCCAGCAAAGAAGCTTAGAGGAACCTTTAAAAGCATTTCATCTACACCAGCTTGTTTGACTTTGCCACCTCTTTTCATTCTCTGCAATAAAAACCTGTTGAAAATGCAGACATTATTGCATAATCATGCCTTGAGTCACAAATCTAGAATACAATATCACTACTGTTAACACAAAACACTTTCTAGGTATTAGAACTGTACGATTTAGGAAACAAGAGACTCTTTGTATATGGGTAAATGACAAATAAAGACGGCAGAAATGTATTCATTAATTTCTGAAACACTAATAGTATTTTCAATAAAGGTTGATTTAATTAATAATATTTTATATTTTTAATACAATATATGTTTACATTAAAATCTCTGGTTAGTATGCATAAATTTTTACTTTAAGCCTCAAAAATTATTTTGATATCAATATCAAGTCAAGTCAAATTTATTTGTATAGCGCTTTTCATAATACACATGGTTTTTAAAGCAGCTTTACAGAAAATCATGATGCTAATGTTTACAATATCTTAATATTTGTATGCCTTATAATCACTTTTAGTAGATTAAAGCGGGGCAATAATATAGTTATATTTTGCGACTTGACACATTTAAATCTATGTACATGCCAGACATTTACTACTGAATTACAAGCAATATTCTGAGTTTTATGATATCATGTATATCAGGAATATAGAGAAACCTCATTACTTGTTAAAAAAAATTATAGATAACATAAATTATTAAATATTTGACAAACATGGTGGCACATGACAGTATATTAATCTTTTAGCCATCAGTTTGTCCAGCACAACAAATAGAAATATTAAATTAATTATGAAATTGTCTCAAATTACCAAATCGCTACAGGAATCAAAACTAAGGTGTCAATGTATTTGAGACTGCCTCGAATAAACACATAAGTGTAACAACTTAAACTAGAATTGAGCAAAGTCTGTGAAAAATTAAGTGATTT